GAAAAGAAAAAGGCACTTCATTTTCTTGGATGCAGCCCTATACCAGGGCCCAAGGTTTGGTCAGCAAAAGCAAGTGAGATTTCAGCGCAAATCCTGCTCTTCTCCTGGTACCTTTGTATGGAGTACAAACTGGTCTAGTGACTCAGCATGGGCTCTAATTTCTTATAGCTTTTGACCTTCAGTAACGATAAACTCATCTTTCTTTCAGGTCCATGGTCAAAAGCTCTGTGAAGAGGCTCTTATTGGCCCAGCTAAGATCGTGAATATAACCAATCAGCTATGGCCAGGGGGCAGAGACCCACCACATTGACAAGTCCACAGTACACCTGCCCTTGGTGTTGGGGTCACGCTCAGAGAAGAACAAACCTTTGTGAGACAGACAGAGGGGCTGTTAGCGGCTTCTGGCCAGCCTTGGATTTGTTTTCAATGAGTAACTTTCATAAACTAACATTTATTCATTTATTGTTCTGTTACCTTAACAAATATTATTGATAAGTAGAGGAAATATTTATGTTACTCATGATGATTGAAGGAGTTTCATATTTTAATTGCCCAGTGATTTGGTTTTGAATTTGTAGGAATAAACTAAACTTTAGAAATCAAGATATTTTTCCATTATCTTAGTTATGATGTCTCAAAACTATCTTTGTGCTTATTACATAGAGCCATATGCTTTCCACTCACCTGTCCTCCCTGTTTCCAAAGAAATATAATATCTTCAATGACATATGTGGGGGATATTCTATTTTCCTCAGCTTGTTGCCAGTGAACTGGTGGCTATCTATCAGTATTAGTTTCCTTGTCAAATTTACACTCCAACATTACAGTTATTCTAACTCACTTAACTTATACATTTGCCAGAGCCTTTATCCAAATAGAATCTTTTAACTATGTATGTATTTTTTCCACCACTGAGTTTTTGTTGGCAGAATAACTAGTACAAGTAACACAATGTCTCTTCCTTGATAACACTGTATTTCAACCCTCAGAAACAAGAATGACAAAATCTTAACACATCACCATTTGTCCCGAATTCTTTGTACTTATGAAGACACATGGGCTGACATGGCTCATCACTGAACCTCACAATTCCCCATCCACGTGTAGGGGCCGAGCCCGAACCACCACATCCTCTGCATGTATGCCAATTTCAGACTCACCCCAGTGACTTAGGGCAGCAATTTTCAACTTTCTTCATCTCATGGCACATATACACTAATTACTAAAATTCTGCGGCTTACCAAAAAATATATTTTTTGTCAATCTAACAAAAAAAATAGGTGTAATTTTGATTCATTCATACTGGATGACTATTGTTGGTTTGGCTGTTGTTTATTTATTTATTTTTATTTGACAGTCTAAGGGGAAAAGAGCTCAGTGGCCCTGACTAAATAGTCAGGTACTGCATGTTTTAAAAATTCTCACGGCACACTGGTTAAAAATCACTGTATTAGTGTTACTGGTACTAAACATTAAGAACAAAATATGCAGTTATCAGCACAATTCTTGACTAATGGAATCTTCTCAGAAATATGTGAGATAACTGTGAACATAGGCTTTTATTTTTATGTAAATTTCTAAACAACTGTAGTTATGTAGGAGAAAAAATTCACACTTAAGTTAAGCTATAGTATTTAAAGAGTATCTTCAACATCACAAATCATTAGGGAAATGCAAGTCAAAATAACAATGAGATACCACTCTATGCCTATTAGCATGCCTATTATAAAACAAAACAAAAACCAGAAAATAATAAGTGTTGATGAGGATGAGGAAACTGGAAACCTTGTGCATTTCAGATGGGAGTGTGAAATGGTAGCTCTGTAATAAAAAACAGTATGATAGTTCCTAAAAAATATATATATAGAACTATCATTCGAGCTCTGGCTGGTGTGGTTCAGTTGGTTGGAATATCACACCACAGACCAAAAGGTTATAGGTTCAATTCCCAGTTGGGGCACATGCTTGGATTACAGGTTCAATTTTATTCTATATCAGACACAACTGATATTCTCTCACATCAATGTTTCTCTCTCTCTCCCCTTTCCTCTCTCTCTGGAATTGATAAATATATCCTCATGGTGAGGACTAAAAAAAGAATTACCATTTGATCCAACAATTCCATTTCTGGGTGTACACCCCAAAACCCTGAAAGCAGAGAATGGAACAGACATCTGTGTACCTGTTTGCAGAGCAGCAGTATTGACGTAGCGAAAAGGTTAAACCAGCCCAGATGACTATGGACCATGAATGGGTCAACAAAATGTGGTGTACACACCCAATGAACTATTATTTTTCCTTGAAAAGGAAAAAATTCTGACACATGCTACAACATGGATGAATCTTGAGGATTATAGGATTACGCTAAATGAAATCAGTTAGACAGATGGGAAAGAACAAATAACCACATTTGAGTTACGTGGATATTTCAAGTAGTTTAATTCATAGAAAGCAGAGTGGCAGTTGCCAGGGACAGAGGGAGGCAGAAGTGGGGAGCTAGTGTTCAGTGGGTGTGTGGTTTCGGTGTTGGAAGATGACACAGTTCTGTGATGGATGGTGGTGACGGCTGGACAACGGTGTGGATGAATGTATTTAGAACTGCACACTCACATGGTTAATTTTCTGTTATGTATACTTTACCACAATAAAAAAGAGGTCAATATCAGCGAATATTTGTTCAGGCAAGAATATCAATTACATGGGTATTATGCAATTGGACTATCATCAATTAAATTATAACAAAGTGCTCATAATTTAAGTTTTTCTTTTGTAACCAATGACAAGTGGATTGTTTTGAAAACTGTGAGAGAACACAATTCATACAGCTGATAGCTGCTGACTACAACTGTCTTCCCCTTTGGTGATTTGGAAGGAGGCGTATTCCTGCACCAGCTGTAGTTCCCCCATGGAGACCCTGCATACTCTCCAAATTCATCATCTTCGAGAATCTGCCTGATCACTCCCAAGGCTTAATCTGCGTGCCGATCATTCCCAAATCTGTGTCTCCATCCCAGAACTTCCACTGAATATCTTCACTCAGAGATTGATCATCATAGGAACCTCAAAATCAATATATGAAATGCAAACCCATCCTTTCTCCTCCTTCCTCCTTTCTCCTCCTCTCCAGGGCCCTCCTCTGGCACTCTCCTCAGCTAGGAGCACCACCATGTCACTATTCAGCCAACCAAGCCCTAAACCCCAATCATTCCTGCTGACTTCTTCCTCTTCCTTATCATCCAATTCCAGTAAGGTATTGTATCTCCTTCCTTTTATCACTCCAATCCCTCCCTTATTACTACCTTTGCTCAGGCTCTCTGCTTCCCCCATCCATCCTGTGCTGCTGCCAGTGGGAACTTGCTCCTTCTGGCAGCCACTGGATTAAAATCTGCCATAGTCTCTTGCAAGATAACACCCAGACTGCTTAGCATGTAATGAGATCTGAATGATTCTGCACAGCTCTTGCTTCTGTGCACCTGTGGGCCACTCAAAGATCACTGTGCAAGTGATCAGGAAATCTCAAACGAGTCAATAATAATCACCAGTTCTTGAATCTGGTCCCTATTTCCCCATTCTAGCCTCTTTTTTCAGAACTCCCTCCACACCCTCCACCCCAGCCGTGCTTCACTTCTTGTGGTTTGTCTGGGCAGGATAAGCCATTCCTGCCTCCCTTCTTCATGTAGGATTTAACTGACTGGAACCAAGCATCGTCATGAGAGACGCTGAGCCAAATGTTTTATCCCACCAGGCTTCAGGCTCCTTGTCCATAAAACAGGGTGACTGTCTGCCTCACAAAACTGGAATGAGGATATAACGAGATGATACATGCAACAGCCGTTCGTAAACCATAAAAGTACCATAAAATGTTATTTTGTGATTCATCAAAGCCTGTCTCTAAGGCCACACCTGCAAAAAGCCTTTTTGTTTGCCTAAGTGGAAACCATCGTCCTCTTCTTGGGACCCCCACCCCCACACACACAGCCTGTAGGCCCTCATGGTTTAATTTATCTAAGTTCATGTCTCTCGTCTGCAGACAGATCACAACCCCATGAAGCCCACACCCACTCCTTCTCTATGGGTTTAAATAGAGACCCAGGTAGGTCAAGGGTTTAGAGTCTTTCAAAGAGAAGCAACTTTTGATTTGAAGAGGTAGAGATGCAAAATTCCCAGTGGTGAAGTACCAGGTTTTCTTATATTTGGGGTGTCACTCAGGATCATGGAGGAACTCCAGAGGCACGCATCCATCCAGTAACACCCTGCTGCAAACTGGGATAACAGCGGCTGGCTCACCGCTGCCTCTCCTCCAGCGTGGCCTGTGTCCAACATGGCTGGTCAGTCATGAGCTCCGTCCCGCTGAGCCTGGACGTGGAGGACAGTGCCAGAGGCTTTTCCAGTACAGCCCAGGTAGCCAACAACTTGTGGATCAATTTTAGCACAGGTGATAAAAAACCACTTACCATCCTCTAAGCTCAGAGATGCCCCCAAACAGCTGGCCTAAAGTTACTACAGAGCAAAATAAATGGTTTTTAAAAAAGGGAGAGACCTCAGATCTGGCAAGTGGGTTGATGGGGTTTAGAGGGGCCATCAAACCCTGGGTGCCGGCTCAGGGCAGGCTGTTGTGGAGGCCAAAGCCCAGCCCATATTTTTGCAAAGAGATTTTGTCCCACATTTTAAGGTCAGAGATTCCTTCAGTGGAGGTGGGAGCCTAAGGGTCTCAGTTTCCTATGAAATGTCCCCGCCTCAACTGGCTTCGTGCCCTGCTGCTTGTGTCTTTAGGTTTCTCTTTCCCTTCCTAAAATGTCAGCTTGCTTTCCTCAACAAAGGGCTTACATGTAATTAAAAGAGATTATGCTTTCACAGGGGAAACTAGCCTCTAATCACCCAGAGAAGGGCACAGCACCCTGAGCTGGAGGTGCTCTGGCGACATTTATGTCCATTGCTTCCTGTGAGCCTCAGCCATCCACGGAGGGCTCCGAGCGATCTGGTCTCCTGTGGTCACCAGCATGGGCTTTGTGAGGCAGATCCAGCTTTTGCTCTGGAAGAACTGGACCCTGCGTAAAAGACAAAAGGTAACAAGCGCAGCCTGGGGTCTCCAAGTGAGGTGTGGAGCAAATTCACAGGTGGAGAGAGCAGGGTGGGTGGGAGCGGGGAGAATGAGCAGTTGGTGGGCTGGTTGCCACTTAGCACCGAAGCAATGGTTAACCATCTGGCTGCACTGTGAGCCTCTCCGTAAAGTGTCTGGCACATAGACATGCATCTCTGTCCTGAGATGGACACTTCCCACCCACAGCTCAGCATGGTCACACTCAAGTCTTCTTTTGCCCTCCCTGCCTATGAGTCCATTGCCCCTCCATCCCTCCCATCCCCTGGTTTTTAAATGTGCCAGTCCAGTCTCTGCACCCTTAAGCATCCATGCTGTACAGTGAGAAGAACCTAAGTCCTGAAGGGCAGGCTCAACAGAAAAGCATACTCTGAGAGCATCCCAGCTCAGTAACACTGTATTTCATCAGTTCTACAGGGCACACTGGCTTTTCACATCTTCACATTTCTACAATCAAGTGACAGTTTAACCAGACACACTTGTTTCTTTTGTAGTGTGCAAAAAAAATTACAGTATATCTTAAAATTGATGGTGTTTTAGATCAAATGAATTGCAATGCCTTATCAACCATCACAGACATTCACTGAGCCTCTTCAGTGAGCAGCCGAGGGACTGGGCTGGACCAGGGGCTAAAAGCGTAAGATGCAGACTCCACCCTAGACTCACTTCCAGCTTAGCTAGAAGAACATGAAGTATGTTTTGAGACCAAAACAATAAAAGTAGCTTAGGCCAAATATCCTCTGAGAAGTACAGGCAAGAGCCCCAGGAAATCAGACCACCGAATAGACTTCTAAGTTGTTTCTGGAAGGGGATAAAGAGTGAATCTATAACTCTAAGGAGAGATGCACTTTGCCACAGGCTTGTGGAGTCATGCCAATGTCAAATGACTGAAAAATTACTAAAGAGATGAAAGAGAAAGGTGGGAGGGGACGAGGAGGGGGCAGGGCTGAGCTTAGAAAGACAGGAGCCGGACAAGGAAGGAGGACGGGGAGGAACATCTACTGTGGGGAGGAAGACCATGGACTTGCTCCCAGCACTGATTCAAGAGGGATTTATGTAGGCAGGACAGGGTTTTCCTGGGTGTTGGAAGAAAATGTGAGAGAAGAGAGGATCCAATTGTGGAACATCTGGAGTGTCTCAGTAAGAGAGAATTTAATATAAAAATGTCTTTGCTAAATACAAAGTTGGTAGCTGAGAGTGTAAAAGAGAACTCCAAGATATCATGGAGGTAGCAATGGCAGGACACAGTTACAGCCGAGAGAACCAAGGGGAAAACGTGGAATTAAGACTTGGAAACGGCCCTGGCCTGGTGGCTAAGTTAGCCGGAGCATCTTCCTGTACACTAAAAAGGTTGTGAGTTCAATCCCCAGTCAGTGCGAGTACGGGAGGCAACCAACCAATGTTTCTCTCTCATTGGTGTTTCTTTCACTCTCTCTCCATCTCTCTGAAATCAATAAAAAATATCCTGGGTGAGGACAGAAAAAAAAGAGAGACCTGAAAACACAGAAGAGAGGTTGGTGGAGTTGAGACTCAGACCTACAAGGAAGGGGTGCAGGAGGCTGCTGCCGGGGTCTCAGTGCCTGGGCTCAGGTCCAGACCCGTGAGGAGGGAGCCCGGGCTGACTGGTGGGTTTGGACTGAAGGCCAATTGCTTAATAACAAACACAGAAAGGAGCAAGAGACACAATTCAGCCACATGCACAGATGGTCTTTTTCTGTGTGTGGCTTAGACAGGATTTAGGAAGGCCAGAGGGGGAAGCCGAGTTAGAACCTGCTCATCTGTGGGAAACACCACTGTCTGTGGGAAACACCACTGTCCTCAGGTTGCTTTCCTTCGTCAAAACTGGTGCGATTCTTCAAATTCATGTTTCAGTTATTTGTTGCCCCCAAGCAACAGTAGTCAGAGACCCAACCCCTTGTTTCTAGAAGTTTCCTTTCTAGAACGAATACAGACAAAACTCAAACTAAGACCTATTCTTAAATTCATTCATGCATTCCTTCGATCCACAAATATTAATTGGCAGGCGCTGTGCCAGGTGCTGGGTGCAGGATGGCAGCCAAGACAATCAGCCCACAGCCCCTGCCCGCACGAGAGCCTGTGCAGCGCGCCAGGGAAGCCAGCGTGCCACTGTTTTCCCTCTTTTCTCTCTTTTCCATAACAAATTAAGGTTCTCACTTAATTTTATTCTCGATGTGCTCTTTGTGGCCAACAAAAAACATAACTGAGGACTATGGCTACTGGCCTAAAGTGCTTCCGCACCCACGGCAAGCATGTTGCTGTTGCAGAGACGAACCCTATTTTCAAAGATAGGATTTGGCTAGGAGCTCCTGGCAGTCTCTGTTCCCTTTCCCTGGTGTTGGTGGGTGTCCCCTCTTCGGGGACTCTGTCCTCTCCACTCCTCTCAGAGGAGCGCGCTGACAACCCCTCTCCAGTGAGATGGGGCCCACCTGGTCGAGGACCTGGGCTGGGCAATCTCCCAGGACGCACCTAGTCTGGGCTGACATTCCTTCGATGCCATCAAGATGGCCTGGTAATTGAAATCCCTTGTCTGATGTGCCTCCAGCCCTCTTCCCCACTGCTAACACATTCCAGGAATTTATAGGATGTCTGGGTAAGGATGGGAGCATCCTCCACAGCCCTCAGTATCTCTGAGAGGCGTGGTCCTGACCTAAGCTTTTGGTCCTTCTGGAAGCTTCTGCCTCCACAAAATGGTGACTCTAAGAAAAAAAAGAAAAAGTACAGCACACTCTGCCCATAACTTAGCTTCTAGGTTAATTTCTCAGACTTCCGTGATTTTGGGTGTTTACTATTATGAGCAAGAGCAAAAACAGATACCAAATTTCCCCATTCCTCCTCTCCTAATCCCTAAGGGCATAAGATAGAAATCTTTAGATATTTCTCCTTCCCTTTTTTCTTCCTCTGTTAACATTTATCAAGTGCAATATTACTAAGTGCCTGGCACTGTCCTGTCACCTCATTTAAACCCTCATTTCCATGAGAGAGACACCACTGTTGTCCCCATGGGTACTGATGAGGTCACTGAGGCTTCAGAGAATGTTATTGACGGGTGAACGGGACCTGGGACTCCAGGCCAGGCAGGCATGGTTGTTACCCCATGCTGTCCCCACATATTAAGCCCTTTCAATAGGCTGGCCACGGAGACCACAAAAATAGTGTGTGGCCATCTCATTTTTCACCCCAACCAAGGCAGTTATGAAAGTGAAAGGGGGCAGCATTAACCTACTAACAATTGCACCAGAATGACAAATATAAACCAGCACTGGACTGGCAAACAGGGCTGTGTGGTTGCCCTATACCTCCTATGTGGTGAGGTGAGTTAGACATCGCCCCTGCGCTCAGGGAATTTGGCGCCAGGTGCAATTGCTAAGCAAGATGACATGAGCAACAGTGGAGCAGAATGAAGCCCAGGGTGGGGAGTGAGGATGCACTCTGGGATCTCAGAGGAGAAGCTGGGGTTGGCCCAGGTGTAAGAAGACCTCTCAAAAGACTTTATTGCTCAAACGTATATTTTCAATGACAAGAGATCTCTGCACCATCCAGGACAAATGCATATCTGCCCATATTTGTGACGGGCTAGGCACTGGCAGGGAGGTTTTATAAAACTCATTAGATTTGTCTCCAGCTCCTGAGAGCTCACAACTTAAGGCCCCTCAGGGCATCGCCCAGTCCCAGCTTCCATGCCAGGGAAGGGTGTTTGAGGGAGGCCTGAGGACTGGTGAGAGTAGGGAGCTTATCGTTTCCAGGAACTGGGGATAGCTATGGCCCTTGGTCTCAGGCCTAGTATTAGTCAAGAAGAACCTGGCAGGTGCTGGAATGCTGGACAGCTGGCTCCAAGTGCACCCAGGTCCTGGGTCAAATTCGTCCAGGCTAAGAATCCTGTCTGGGCTCTGGGTGCAACAGGGGAATCACATGGCTCATTTCAAGATCTGCTTACCCACTTTTAAATTGAAAACAGAGTAGGAGGGGGAAAATCCAACTGGCCAAGATTAAAAACTACAAGAACAACTCTGCCCTTCCCCGGGACCCCTCCTCCCCCGTGTAGGTTGAGTGGTGGAGAGAGGGGGAGGGGAAGCAAAAAAGAGAACAAGGAAATACCAGTTTTGGGGGAAAAAATTTCCACCAGCCCCTTCTGAGTTCGGCTGGGCTTAATTAAAGCTACAGACATGTTTAAAGGGAAGGGGTGGGGGTAGCCAGAGCTGCTCTGAAAACATGCTTTTAATTACACTGCGGAATTTCTCCCCAGGGTATGCCCTGCACAGTTGAGCATCAAGGACAGGGATGCCGCTCCAGGGTGGTGATGAGCAGGGTTCTGGGGGAGGGAGAAGTGGTTGTCGTGAGGACCTGCCAGGCAGGGAAAGAATTGCCAGTGATCTGTTTGCAGGGAGTGAAGTGTGAAATGCAGCCCCTCCAAAACAAATGTTCCTACAGTTAGAACAATAACAATGACGTCCCCACAAATGTTTTTCAAAGATTCCCAACCACTTCCTATCTCAGTGGTCCTCAGCCCCAGCTGCACATTGGGGTTACCTGAGAGGTGTGAGAAATCAAACTGATGTCCCGCAATCAGAGGTGCTGGTGGAAGTAATCTGGGCCAACTCCCTAAGCTCCCCACAGGACTCCAGGACACGGCCACGTGAGAACTGCAGACCTAGGCCAAGGACGCAGGGCACAGAGGGGCAGAGAACAGCAACCCTAAGTCAGAGATGAGGCGAAAAGGAGCACCTGCCAAGCCCCACTTGCTATAGGGCCAGGCAAAGAATGAAGGAGGAATGGAGAATTCTGATCTGGGCCCCCACTGATGGGAGGATATCAAATCACAATGCCTTGCAAAGTCCAGATACTTCAAAAACACAAGCAGGGGTGAGGGAGTGAGTGGACAAGAGAGTGTGTGACTCACACTGCAGACAGGGCTGAGATGCAGGAGCTCGGGCCTGGGAACCTTATCCCTGGGAAAGGTAGGCCAGGCTGCCTGACCCCAGCCCTGGTTCAAGCCCCCCAGCATATGGAGCGGGGGACAGCTGGTGGTCAGTTTCTCAGGAAGCCCCATGCTTCCAAACCGGCAAATGAGCTGTTCTGAACCCAGAAAGGGGGAAAGGGAAGAAACACGAGCATGAGTGGAGGCCTGAGAGCTTGCAGATGATTTTAATTATATCTCCTGGCTCTTCAGCCTTTGCGACATGTCATCACCTACAGTGTCCCTGTGGTCCTTGTGAGAGGTAAGAGTCAGTAACAAATGACTGGTGTTTATTGCACATTACCTTGGGTCAGATTCTGCCTTAGGGGTTTCATATGGTGAATTCATTTCATCCTCATAGCTTCTCTGGGGGGCAGGTCCTGGCATCACCCCTCATGTTACAGATGAAACCCTGAGGCACTGAGAAGTTCAATAGGTGACCTAATGTCCTACAGCTAAGAGGGAGCAAAACCAGGTGTAAACCTCAGTACTGGCACACTCTTAACCTTAGGTGTAAACTGTAGGACAAAACGGTCCCATGCCACAGATGAGAAAACTGAGATGCAGATATTAAGCATGTGCAAAAGTGATTCTTAACCCAGATCTGCCTATTCCCAAACCAGCATCAATGCCTAACTAAGTGGACTCCTCCCAAATAGACTGGCTGCATGGAAAGAGGCTGCCTGACTCGATAGAAAGCCAAGGTTGCAGGCAGTTGTCTTAGGAAGAGTTAAATGTGCAGAACCTAGGCCGGTTGTCTCATTTCTTGGTAAAGACAGCAGGAACAACTTCGGTTCATTGTTTGCACCCATTACTTACAATGCTAACTGGCCAGACTTGTTTCCCAACCTTAGCAACAGGGAGGACCTAGGACTGAAGGTGTGAAGCCGGTGCAGTTTGTTAAATCTGAACACTGTTGGTGACCCTGAGCCTCTGTGTCACCTCCAGCTTTCCTGGAGGAGCCTCCTAGACCAGTCCTGACAAAGGCTCACTCATTCCGTATTTATCGGACACCTACTGTGAGCCTAGCCCTGTGCTGGGTGCTAGAATCACAGCAGTGATGAGGATAGATGTGGTCCCTGCCCTCAGGAGGCTTACAGCCAGTGAGAGGGGCACGTACCTGAAGGAGCAGTGAGTGACCCTGGCACACGATGAACGATGAGACCGGAAGTGTGGGCTGCTGTGGGAACAGCTGGGCTGGGCTAGGCTGGAAAGAGCAAAGGGTGAGCAGTGAGATGGGGTCACCAGGGGGGAGGCTCCGTCCCTCTTCCCCTGATTTGCATACCCAGAAGGAACTGCCACATTCCAATGGCTTTCAAGTGTGCTTGGGGTCAGTCCCTTTAACACTGGATGGGAATTGTTCAACCTTGGTGTTTTGCCTTCTTGTGGGAGAATGTGTAGGGGGAACCCTGAAAAATGAGTGCCTTAAGGAAAATCTATTATTCTTTCTTCTTCCCATCATATCTCGTGTTTCCTCTAACACATCCTCCCTAGACATATTTTGAGTAAAACATTTGTAATAAGTTGCAACACCATAATCACCACCTGCCCTAAACAGTTTTTGCTTTGTTTTCTTCAATGCATTTTCCTTTTTTCCTCATTGACTTACGTTATGATTTGTGCAGTGATAACTTTGTGGCCGGCAGACTTTACAGAGGAAAAAGAACAAACACTTATGTGTACCTGGTATGATGTCCACAGTTTTGCTGACAGTTTAAGTACATTTTTTGGAAGGAACAACAAATGGTTAATGGTCATGCTAATAGCCTCTACCTGATCTATATATACTTAAGTCTCTATTCTTAGCCACCTGCTTAAGATTTTTCAATCGTATGCCTTTCCTTCCTAAGGTCTCTGGAACAGGGATTAGGTCGAAGAGCTGTTATACCAGTTCACACCCTCTCTTCCTCCGGTCCCCCCACAATCCCATCCTCATGTGCCATGCCCCAGAGTGTAGGCTGCAACAAACTGCAAGTTCTTCCTCTGGAGTCAAGAGTCCTTAAACTCAAAATTGAACCTAAATTTAAATAGCAACTTTCAACCATATGCTCATAGCAGAAATGTCTCCCAGTTTTGTAAAAACCCACAACAGCACACTCTGCTTTGTCTCTTTGAGCAGTGAGAAATTCTTGAAGGAAAAATATCGGTAAACTTAGGTTTCTGTTGACTTTGCTGTGGATCACAGTATTTCATAGAATTGTTTGCACATTCATTCCCTCATGGGTGACCATAGACGCAGAGTCTAGTGTGTGTTAGAAGGCAGGGCAGTGGGCATGAGCAGGGCATTGACCTGGAGACAGGAGACTGGAGTTTGGTTCTGATGCCGTCACTGCTGATGTGACACTGCACAGTAGCCTGCCCTCCCCGGGCCTCTGTTTCCTTATCCGCAGGAGAGCTCATAATGAGGTCTTCACCACTTGCAGCATCAGTGTTACAGGTGAAACCTGGTCGGGCCTCACTGAACCAGGATCTGCTCATGTCACAGCAACATCCAAAAAGCATGGGAGCACACATCTTAATGATACTTGATCAAAGTCCTGAATGCAGTTTTTTAAAATAAAGGTAACATGCTCTGGCTGGTGTGGCTCAGTGGATTGAGTGCTGGCCTGTGAATCAAAGGGTCGCTGGTTTGATTCCCAGTCAGGGCACATATGCCTGAGTTGTGGGCCGGGTCCCCAGTGTGGGGCGTGAGAGAGGCAACCACACAGTGATGTTTCTTCCCCCTCTCTTTCTCCCTCCCTTCCCCTCTCTAAAAATAAGTAAATAAAATCTTTAAAATAAAATAGAGGCAACATGGAGCCCAGGTGGACACCATGTCTTGCCCGTCTAACATATCATAGTGGAGCTAGTATGGGAGAAGGGATAAAAAAAGGAAGTCCTTCAGGAAATATCCAAAGTCCCATTGCATAGACAGGTGCTGAGATGAAGTGTGTCTTTTCTGGGTGTGCTTCCTATAATCTCTTAGCATCACTGGTCTCTCTTTTTGTTCTGTTTATCCAGGTTCGCTTTGTGGTGGAACTCACCTGGCCTTTATCTTTATTTCTGGTCTTGATCTGGTTAAGGAATGTGAACCCACTCTACAGCAAACATGAATGTAAGCACCGCGGGGCAGCCTCGGCAGAGCCGGAGACCCCGCCCTCTTGTTTAGACAGGTCTTGGGGGTGGGGTGCCAGGATCATATCTGCTTATTAGCATTTCATGCCCACCATGCATAAAACAGATTCGTCAGTGTTACCCAAACTAATCGTCTATTCTGACACATTCTATGCAAATACTTGTATGTGGTTCCTGACGAATTGTGATTCTTTTTTGTTTTTGTTTTTGAGCCCTAAACTGTAACTAGTATTTAAAGGGAGCAGAGTATAGATGACTTTTCTAAAATATTTTGGAGACCAATTTAAGGATAGGTTATACACAGTGCTAGAGAAAAATAAGAAAAAGGGATGCTATAACAATCATGCTTAATAAAATGTTATTTCTTGGACCCCAGAGGTGCCCTGGGGTCAAGGGTGGGTGCGCCTGTGAGCGCCTCTCTTACACCACGCCCCTCTGGTTTCTGGGCAGGGGGACATCTTCGCCCTCTAGGCGGCTGATGTGAGACCTCAGGAGTTATGCAAAGGGCTCGGTCCCCTCTTCTTGCTCCTGACCCTCTTCTTCCTGAGTTCTAAGACCAAAATTTTGATCCATTTCCTTGTCCCTCTCCATCCCCTCTCAAGGAGCCTATAATCTGCAAGCTTCCTGCCTGCTCAGAGGCAGGTGCTCCTATGAAGGAACAGGTCAACCTCTTCTCCTCAAGCTTCAGCAACTTGTGGAGGCCCTTTGAGCAAACATCCCTTCACCCCTACCACTGCAAAATAATGTGCTCATTTCTGCCTCCCCGCTGTACTTCCACCTATGCCTCTGTTAGAACATTTGTCTGTCTTCTGCTATACTGAGGGCTTGAGAGAAGGGGCCCTGTCTCTGGGACCCAGTGCAGGGCCTGCCATACATAGATGCTCCTGCTTCTTAAATGTCGATGAGTGAAGCACAGCCCCAGAGGGACAGACTCCTTCCTGCAGAGGCCTCACCCCCACCCCCAAACCCACAGGCCTTCATCCCACTGGGTCTGGAGGACTAACTTCTTGTCTTCATTTCCTGTCTTAAAGGCCATTTTCCCAACAAGGCGATGCCCTCAGCAGGAATTTTGCCATGGCTCCAGGGAATTTTCTGCAATGCGAACAATCCTTGTTTTAAAAGTCCCACCCCGGCAGAATCTCCTGGAATTGTGTCAAACTATAACAACTCCATGTAAGTGTTGCAATTTCCACCTTAAGGGGGAAGAAGCTGCACACCCCTTTATTCTGTCACACGCCGGAGCGCATGTGCGCACACACACACACACAGACCGTGTCATGCCGAGTGAAGGTTTTCATGGCTTGCTGAACCCTTAAGCTCATGGGAGTGGGACATTTCCCCTCTGGAGCATTCTGTTAGCTGTCAGGGCACTTGGGGAGAAAGCTTCAAACTAAGACCACAGGACACAATTTCTCGGTCCTTCTGTTTCCAAGATGTGACCTGAAGTCTGATGGCAGTACCCTGCTGAGGTACGGCCACTGCCTCCGGGTCATCTGTCTGCCTGGGTCGAGTCACTGAACAAGAAAAACTCAGTTTTCCTTCTGTTGCCTTAAATCACTGCTCCCCTGGCCAACCTGGCAGATCCCTGTTTCTCTGAAAGGCTTCTTGGCCAGTGTCCATCCGGGCAGCACACACTCTATCACTGGAACGATACAGAGAAGATTAACACGGCCCCTGTGCAAGGATGACACGCAAATTCACAAAGCATTCCTTTAAAAAAAAAAAAGAAAAGAAAAAGCTTTCTTGGAAATCTAAAGGTTAAGAAAAATGTCAGAGAATATTTTAAGGGTGAATAAAATAAGATTTACAAGATGAAGTTTGCTCCCTGGGAGAAAAGGCCAAATTCCAAGTCATCTCTTGTAGATGCCATCAGCTCCCTTGGGCGGCAGAATCTGAGGCTGTGGCTGGAGGGCGGCGGTTCCAAACCTGCGGGGCTGCAGACCGTTCCAAGAAACTGATGGGAACTGATGGCCCTTCTTCCAAGAAAAATGCACACAGGCGCAAAACATGACATTGATGTCAGAGGACTTGTGGACTTCAGGTTAATGACTTCTAGTCTGGAGTCAAATTTCAAGTCCAATCCCATAGGAAGAAAGCCATCCTTTGGGATTCCCTGTCAGAGGTGGGAGGACATGAGGTGAGCATATCCTCTACACAGAGGCTCAGAGGTGAGGACAGGGCTGGCCTTCACCCCCTGGGCTGAACCTGAACTGCAGCCTGTGAAGCTAATACTCAAGAATCACTGACCAGGGCTTATTGTAGAGTGGACTTCAGCCAAACACCAAGTCGGGTGGAAACTGATGTATGTTGCTACTTCAGTTTTTCCTCTGGATATAATTCCTCCAGGACAAAATTATATTTTGACTGAAAAAAAAAAAAGAACATTTGGTAAGCCACCCTAGTGCTTAGAGGTGGCCTTCCCCACTGGGAACAAACTGTTGCTGCTTTTGCCCTACGATGGCAGAGTTGAGTGATTGTGACAAAATCATGGCCCAGGAGCCTATAATATGTGACTGTTCGCTAAGGAACACCTGTCTTTCCAGGACAGCCAGGAGGTGACATTTTAGCTGGGCTCCCATGGCCGCAAAGACTGCCAAGAGTCTGTAATTTACAATCTACACTTTCAGCCTGAGTCTCTTTGAGGTACTTGAGAAGAAACGCCTGCCCATCTAGAGACACCCCATGGGTTACACATTGGGGTCGGGAAGCCCTGGAGACTTCTCAGCGAGGCTGGATGGAGCTTTGGTGGGGCTGGTACTAGCAGTGTCAGTGAATCGAAGGGTGAGAGTTGGGGAAGGGGGGCTTCGGACTCCAGTGTGTGCTCAGCATTTGAACCAGGAAATCTGGGTTTCATGTATCACACATACATTATAGGTGAAATATTGGCTTATTCAAGGGTCTTTGCTTGCAAAGCACTTAAACAAGTTGAAGTCCCAGAGAAAAATGTATGATTTGGACACTAGACCTTCTCACAAGCCAAGACGCTGCAGTCAGGTATCAGGAGGGGTGGGACGAGAACCAAAGGGCCATCAGAGCTGCCATCTGCCGTCTGGGCCTGTGAGGTGTGGTCTCTTTGCCTCTCCCTGGGCATCCAGGTCGTCTGCCTCTCCATGGACCAGTGTCTCCTGCTTCCCAGTGCCCAGGCTGGTGCTGGCCATTCAGGTCACAGCACCTTGCCTCAGGCAATGGGAAGAGCATCCTTGAACATTATTTAAATGCCTGGGAACAAATCTGGTTGGCCTGGCTTCATTATCCTCGTCCAATCAGCCTTGGCAGAGGTGTGTATGCACACAGGCAGAGAGGAACTTGTGGATTAAGTGTGGCTGTCAGACCCTCCCCCTGTAAACAGCTGGAAGGGCAGGTCTCAGTGAAGTGGGGATAGTTGGAAAGAACTTAACAGCTATTAATATCCTGCTTAAAGCCTCTCAGGACAGAAGACACCTAGAGAATGGGGTTGAGAGGTGACCTGGCCCTGCCAAAGTTGGAAGACTGAATGAATTGCTCACTGCCCCTGCCTGCTATGTTAAATGAATTCAATACAAAAAAATAAAAATATTAGTCTCCTTTTGCCTTAACACTACTGTAAAGATACATAATGTAGTAGCTAGGTCAAGCAGATGGTATCTCTAAAAATTGCACAAGGTGGTATTATTATTATGAAAATGGCAGCTATGTCTTTATCAACGAGGCCTTGTCTTTCTCCCAGCTTGGCAAGAGTGTATCGCGATTTTCACGAACTCCTCGTGGATGCACCAGAGAGCCAGCAGCTTGGCCGTGTTTGGACAGAGCTTCGCACCTTATCCCAACTCATGGACACCCTCCGAACTCACCCAGAGAAAATTGCAGGTAAGGTGGGATTCTATGTTCTCAGCTATCAGTCGCCTCTCACCTGTCTCATACATCAGAGAGACTCAAGATACAGGGAAGAGCAGGGAGATGTGGTCAGAAAAGACACTAGAGGAGGCAGGAAGGAATGGGGGCTAGAGGGGACGTGAGTCTCACCTTGGTGAGGACTGCTCTTCCCACCAGCCTAGACAATAGGAGGTTGAGAAGAAGGGCCAGCAAGCTCTTACCCAGGTAAGTCCAGAGACAGGAAGGAGCGCACCAGGACAGCATGTGCTCTGGGAAGTAGGAGGCTAAGCTGAGTGGTAGAAGCAGGGAAGAGGGGTTCTCAGACAGCTTCCACAGAGTCCTAGAGAGCAAGCTAACCAGGAACATGTGTCCCAATGCCAAGTAGCATTAAGGACTCAGGGAGGCCAGGGAGAATGCGTTTATCACGAGAGATATATATGTATAATCATTTGATTTCTTCTAGTGATGTCCAGCACCCCAAGCCCTGAGGCAGAGAAGGTGCAGAGTTGGGGGTAACAGAGCCAGAGGTTTGAGGGGCAAGTAGAAGGTCCAGGAGGCGAGGGGGTTGAGGGTGGTGTGGAACTACACGTCAGCTCCAGGGTACATAAGGATGGACAAGAAGACAGAAGTGCTGAAATGGGCCAGGGGATAGTGGGGGAAGGGGCCAGGAACTAGAGGTCTCAGGGGGTTTCATGACCCTGTTTAAGGGCTGAGAAAATGAGCAGAATGGAGAGACTGACGGTTGTGGTCAGAAAATGAAGTATGTGAATTCAAGATTTCAAAGGCAGGCAGGACAGGCGAGAACAAGCCCCCAGGTGTGGCCATGGTGGTTGAAGCTGAGCAGAGGTGACAGTTTGGTTGACGAGGAGGTGAAGGAAATTCGAGACCGCTGGGTGGGTAGGAGAGCCCCTTGGAGTTGTGAACAGTGAGCAGAAACTTGGAGGAGCTCCCTCCCTGGCCCCTCCTCCCAGGAGAAAAACAGGAACAAACAAACCCAGCCCCGGCAACCACTCTGACAGGTCTCCTCAAAGCACGGGTGGATGTTGTATAGATGATGTGTTTGCAGGAGGCTCCATTACAGACAGCCCAAGGGACTGGACATAGCAACAGCCTGGGCCCCCGCGGGAACCATCTGCAGGCAGGGAGCCGCGCCGCAGGAACCCCGGGCTCACTGCAGTCCCGGGGTGGAGAGCAAAGGCTGCTGGTGCAGAAGATGGTTCATGGGGCTGAGAGCCTGAGAAGGAAGCAGTGTGGATCTGGGAGGTGTCTGCTCCTAGGAATGGGGGTAAGGGTGGGAGACGATACCCTCGGGATGACCTTAGAGAATGACAAGGATGAGGAAGGGGCCTACCAAGGGGACTGGAGGTGCTGGTGGCACAGCTCCTACTCGGTTCCAAACAACAAAGGTGGAGAAGGACTGGAATGGGTCAGTCCCGGGAGCCTCACTGCACAGGCCAGCCAACACGCCGCAGACATTTGGCCAGTGCCCCCCCAGCCTGGCATGGTGCTGGTCCCTGGCGGCGGAGATGGGTCAGACCGAGTGTTTGCCGGCTTCCGGGGCAGAAGCGAAAGGACTGAGTCAACAGTGGCCGCCTGAGCAGTAGAGAGGAGCCCAGGTGGAGCTTCAGGAGCTCAGGGGAGTTGGGAGGGGAAAGTTCTCCATCTCACCGCCACCTTCTCCATTGACTCCCCATTGGCTCAGTAAAGGACAGGAGTCTGCTCAGATGGGACTTTCAGATTACTTCATTATGTGGTAGTTGTTTCAAAAATAGTAATGCTTATACTTTATGTAGTAAAACCAAACTACAAACGCTGTGTCTTTTGCTGCTTTGGGTAGAAGAATTTACTTAGCTGGAGCTTGCAGGACTAAGCAGTTATAGTCCTCTGAGCACAATCAGCATTTTAATAGTAAGAAAAATTGGGGGCAGGGGGACACCAAGCAGAAAGCACTTTTTCCCCTGAGGTTAAACAGCAGAAGACAAAATGGCTGTCTGAGCCCAGAGTGACTGCCTGCCTTGTTCATCCAGCAGAAATTTCATTTCAGTGTTTGATCCTCACCTGGAGTCTGGCTGGGAGGAAGTGTGAAGGACGTCACTTCAAACCTCAGCTTCTCTATGGCCTTTACAGTGTGTATATGAGAACCCAAAACCACTACCCCCTAACCCCAGAGAGGGCCGAGTTTTAACTGGCACAGGGGTGGTTCCTTCTGCTTTGGGGGGAAATTGCTAAACGACAGCAGCTTTGGAGGTCTGCGCAGTCTGGGTCAGGGAAGGCCAGCCAAATCTCCCAAAGAATTTCGGGGCTGAGAACAGAGACTCTGCAGAACACCTGGCCTTAGTGGCCCTTCGTGGGGACAGGAGACCATCCACCTCCAAGTAAAGTTTGGGACACTGTCTCTGAAGGAATTCCAGGCTGGGGACTGAAGTACACCATTAGCACTGCAGGCTATTTAAAAACCTGTCCCAGAGTCACCTGGGGACACTGCTCCCTGAGAGTGTTGAATCCTCGGCCTGAAGCTGCAGTGGAGCATTAAGTCTTTGAAAGCAAGGTGGAGGCTGTCACTGGTGTGTGCTTTTGCCAGTCAGCTCCCCGGTCACCTGGGAAAGTGTGCCGATGGTCGACGAGGTGGCATTTTCCTTTCCAGCAAACCTGTAGTACAGCATTCTCCACAGGGGAAGATTAATGGCTAAAGGCAGGCCTGAAGCCCCCCTCCCCTCTCACCCCCAAAGAAGCTCTGCGGTCTCTCAATCATCTTTAAACACCTTCTTCCCATGGGCCTCGAGCATTCTCCTGGCCTCCCTCCCACCTCAGCTCCCCTCAACTCCATGGGCCTCAGCTGCCCCTCCCCCAGCTTCTAATCTTCGTGGGGAAGAGAACAAGCAGAACCACATTTTAAACTAAATTTATTTTTCTTTCCTCAGGCCCCCAGTTCACATTTCTCCCTCGAGAGTCTAGTGAAACCTCTGTCTGGTATCAGCCACTTTGTAAGCGTTGGGCCCCACACGTCCCCTGCAGGACGGCCCCCACCCCTCCTCGGGTGTGTGGGCCCAGAATGCTCCTGCCCCTGCTCTCTAGGGCCACAGCTGCCCAGTCGCCTGGGTGGAATACAGTCTCCCTCGTTCTGTCCCCCTCCCTGGCAAAGGTATTTTTATGTAAGGTCAGACGAGTGAGTTAAAGAATAACAAAGAGATAAACAGTCCAATGGGGTCATGACTTTCAGGGCAAGACAACAGGTATTTACTGGGCACCTGAGCCGTTCCATTTTACTGAGGCTCCGATTCCATGTCAGGCTCCAGTGCTGGATGTCAGAGACAGGTGACTACACAGGCCTACATCTGGGTGCTCAGCATCGCTAGGGGTGATGAGGGGTGCTGATGAAAGTAGAATGCACAGCCCCCTACTTTCAGGAGGGGTGTATGTGTGAGAGAGAGAGAGAGAGAGAGAGAGAGAAACAACATTGTACATAAAAAAGTGACTGGGAGAAAAACAATTGAACTCTTGCCACAGGGCAAGGAAGAGAGGAAGCAGGACCTGAGTTTGGAAGATGACAGAATTACCTTGTTGAAAAGGTGGGAAGGCAAGAATCAAATAGAACAGCCACTCTTCAAACCCTTCTCCTCCCTCAGGCTCCTTCTTGTGTCAGGTTGCCCTAAAGCCTTTGGGCTTTTCTCATGCAAAGGATTGTTACACTGGGCTCCCCAGGGGCAGGACTCTGAAGGGCCCCCACCCTGGAGACGGAGGTGATGGGGAAGTGGCACCTCAGGACAGGTTTCCCTGTGCTCACTGCACAGCCAGACCCGTGGCTGACTCACCCCTTTCAAAAGGAAATGAGCAGCCTGTCGCTCTGGATAAGGCACTGTGCGGGGCGAGTCACGTCCTGAAAACGGAAGGGATGGCTGTCACGTACTCAGGCCCTTAGCCTCTTGGCTCCCTGGTGAGGGAAGAATTTGGGGAGGGAGGAGATGGGCTCTGGAAGGAGCAGGGGCGTTTGATGATTAAATCTAGCCAAAGGAGAACTATGTGAGATAAGCAGTCATCCAGGCTCCCAGAGAATTTGGAATGCAGAGATAGGCCTTTTCGTGCAACCCAAAGACTTTCCCAGAATGTTGAAACGATTTCACAAATATCTGGGCCTTTAACCTTCTTCTCTGACCATCACCTCCTGAACTGTGACAGCGGCCAGCTTCACACAGAGTGCTGGCCCTGGAAGCAGGCAGAGGAGGTGGGCACCCTGAGTGGGACTCCCCTGCGAGGAGTAAGAATAATGTGGCCGTAATCAGAATGAGCATTGATCGCACGCCCACTGTTTTCAGGCTGGGAGCTAAGCACTTTGCATTCCTTGTCTTTCGTCACCCGCACAACAGTCCTGAGAGGTAGATGTGGAAAGTACAGGCTCTGAAGAGGTTCAATCACTTGCCCCAAGGTTACCTAAACTGTCAAGAGTCCTTTATGTCTCCCCATAAAAAATTTTCTGCTTCTAGCAGATTCTGAGTGGAGCTAGAAAGAATGTGACTGGGAGATTAGGGTGTGAAACTGCAGGCCCAGGCAATGGGCCATCCCCTCTTCTCTACTTGAAGTTTTCTTTAACCAAAACAGCCCCATCTCTCCTAGTCCACATCAGTACACTGAGCTTAGACCCGTAACTGCAATCCCAGAAAGGCCAAGAAGGATCCTCTACCCCATGACAACCACACTGTGAACAGAGCGCGTGTCTCCCCCAGTCCCGGAATAGCGATTCTCTCCCTTAGCACTACTGGCGTTTTGGATCAGGCGGGCCCGTGTACTGTGGGGTGTTTGGCAGCATTCCTGTTCTCTAGCCACTAGTGGCTCCCCGGTTGTGGCAACCACACGTGTCTCCAGATGGTGCCAAATATTCCTGGGGGACAAAACTGCCGTGCTCCCGCTCCTTGCTCCTACCTCGCTGAAAGCGAGGTCCTAGACCAACCCCACAGCAGACCCTGAGCTGACTTTTTCTGCTTTCTGGGCCTTCTCACTAAATTTTGCTGAGCTGCCACGGCAGTTAATTCTGTGACTGTGTTGGGGGACAGCTGACTGGCAGGAACCCCACCCTCCAGATGCTCCTAGGGACCCCAAGAATACAGTTGGAAATGTTTCCAATGAGTTGTAGATGTTTTCTCTGTTTTGACCCACCTCCCTTCCCTTCAGCACCCTGGTCTTTCTCTCATTCATATACAGGCAGAGGAATACGAATTCAGGATGTCCTAAAAGATGAAGAAACACTGACACTATTTCTCACGAAAAACATTGGCCTGTCTGACTCAGTTGTCCACCTTCTGGTCAACTCCCTGGTCCGACCGGAGCAGGTAGGTTCATGTCTTTGGTCAGCCGTCCCTGGAAGGGAGGGGTGAGCACAGACCTGAGAAAGGCAAGGAACAGCGTGGCTTTTTATTCCCTTCTTGCTTTTACACCCAGAATCCATAATTCATGCCACATACTCAGAAGAATTCCTGAGGGTTACTTGCACTGATAAGCGCTGCCCTCATAGGATTCCGAGACAGCGCCAGTCCTGGCAACACAACGTCTCAGCGTTTTACAGCGGGAAAGAACCTTAGAGGCCACGTGGCTCCACCTCCTCTTCTAGTTGAGGAAACTGAAGTTTGCTCATGTACTCATTAAATATTTAGGGACATTTTGGGTACGAGAATAGTGTGAGCAATATGGACAAGCCCCTCACTCTTGGGCTTACTTGGGGGCCACAGGCAGTATGAAGTAAGCAAAGGAAGCCGTGCGTATGCAGGCGGAGATGGGTGCTGTGAGGAAAATCTAGCAGGGTCAGGAGTCAGGGCAGGGCTGCGGGCATGGGACAGGGCCGTTTTAGATGGGGTGGCCAGGGAAGGCCTTCCTGAGGAGGTGGTGTTTGAGCAAACCTGACTGCCGAGAAGGTGGCCATGCAAATAACTGTGAGGATAGTCCCAGGCCAAGAAGCCGGCAGCACAGAGTCCTGAGCTAGGCTGGGGTAACTCCCACGTTATAGACTGATAACGGCAGCGTGCAGAACAGCCTCCGATTTCCTGCCCTGTTTCCTCTCCAGGCCAGGCAAACTCCTTCCTCTAGCCCCTTGCACAATCTGACCTAATCGCACCACCCCACCCCCAAACCTAGTTCTTCCATGTCCATTCTCCCTCGTATTTATTCAGAGCATTTTTATCATGAACACATGACTTTCACATCCTTTAGTTACACGTTCTTCACATGAATCCTGAGATGGCTCAGAGAGAGGGGGAAAGAGAGGCGGCTGGCGATTGAGTGGTTTGCAGGAGGGTATAGAGCTCAAATTTCCTACAGAATCCAGGTTTTCTCATTCTGAACCCAATCTTCCTCACTCCGGTTCAGTGGTGTTCAGAGTCCTAGGCCAGCAGCACCCATAAGGACCGGGAGCTTGTTAGCAAAGCCAATTCTCAGGCCCCACCACAGACCAGTCAGCAACCCACAGTTTAACCAGCCCTCCAGGTGATTCTAGCAGGCCCTGTGGTAAGAACCACTACTGTAGTTCGGGGCCTTGGGGCTCCTGGCCCAGCGTCCTGGGGCTGTGGGCTCCTGGCGAGTCAGGCCTGGCTGCCCTGCTCTGGGTTCCCTCCGCCCGACCCAAGGAGGTGGTGGCAGGAGCACTAGTTGGTCATTTTCCCCTCTGCTTGCCCTTCAGCTCGTAAAACTCAAGTCCTGGAAATGCCTCTGATGACTTCCAGTTGGTAATAAAAGGGTGGTGGAGATAAAGCCAAGAACTGAGGGGAAATGTCTTTATAGTGCCTCACTGACGTGGCATTTGGACCTCTAGTCGCTGCGTTGCTGTCCTCAGGGCTGAGACCTCTCATGTGGGGAGAGGACAGTCCTGGGTCACCAGGTTGTGGCCTTGTTTAGTGTTGATGGCTCTGAATCACTGATGCTTCCCTGACCAGCAAACCCCAGGGCTTGAGGGGCCCAGAGCTCCTGTGCAGGCAGAGACCACTCCTGGGGACCCAGCTCCCTCTGTACCCTGCGCCCGCCCTGCTTCTCTGCCTGCTTGCCTCATATATCTGCCTCCCCACCTCCTCCTCAGTCTTGGTCTGTGTCCTGCTCAGCGGCTTCTTAACAGCACCATCCACTAGAACCTTCCTCCACAAAGGCAACGTTCTTCCTCTGTGCTGTCCAATACAGTAGCCACTAGCCACATGTGGCAGCTAGGCACCTGAAATAGAGCTAGTGCAACTGAGGAACTGAACTTAGAATGTTATTCAATTTTAAAAACCCTCCCTCCCTCCCTCCATTCCTTTTTAGAGAGAGGGGAAGGGAGGGAGAAAGAGAAGGAGAGAAACATCAATCAGTTGCCTCTTGCACACCCCCAGCCAGGGACCTGGACTGCATCTCAGGCTTGTGACCTAACCAGGAACTGAACTGGTGACCTTTCAGTTTGCAGAACAATGACCAACACACTGAGCCACACCAGTCAGGGCTAATTTTAATTATTTTAAATTTAAATAGCCACATGTGATTTACAACTCTCTAATTGATCATCCTCATCAAACATGGAATTTTGTTCTTTGCCATCAGGACTGGCTGCCCCTCCTGGTCCTTTCTGCCCATTGTCTTAGCACAGCTCGGAAGGGAATCACATCACCCCCTCTCTCCCCGTCTAGGGAGTTACTAGATGAAGAGAGTGATACAGGTCTGGTCTGCCCTCACCCCACCCCAGCCCTGTAAGCTCCTAGACTTGCTTCAAGGCCCAGCTCAAATGTTGTCTCCTCAGTGAAACTAGTCATTAACCCTCCTCTCTTTGTCCAGCCCCCTCCCTCTTCCCCACTGGACAAAGAGCTAACAAGTAATAGTTAAGCACAAGCTGTAGGTTCAGATCCCAGCAAAGCCACAAGGTTAACTGTGTGACCTCCAGCAAGCTAATTAATGACTCTGTGCCTCTGTTTCCTCATTTGTAAAGTGGAGATAACAAAAAGTGCCTACCGCATGTGGTTGCTGTGGGAGTTAAAAGAATTAATATATGTACAACCCTTAGAACAGTGCCTGGTACACAATAAACAATAAATACTAGCTATTTTTACTCACTACTCTTAATGCTCCCTCTTCTGTGCTCTGGCTTTACTACATTCAATCCAGCACTTGTTACTCCTTAAATGCCTGTATTTCCAGGTAGCCAGTGAGCACCTGAGAAAGCAGAAAGTTCACCTGGTTTCTTTTTCTTTCCTTTTTTTAAAAAAACAGTGATCAATTTTCGAGAGAGAGGAAGGGAGAGAGAGAAAAAAATATATTGATTTGTCATTCCACTTTTTATGCATCATCAGTTGTTTTTATATGTGCCCTGACTGGGGATCAAACTCACAACTTTAGCATATGGGGACAACATTCTACTGAACTGCACAGCCAGAGTGTGCCTTGTAGTCTCTGATTCCGCAGTAACTCGTCTAGTCCCTGCAGAATGGGAACTCAGTGAGTGAGCACTGCATGAACCAGTGACTGAGTAACAGAATGAGCAGGGGTCTTCTGTGGGGACCCAGCTTTCCCACTGACCTTCTGTGCAACCTTCTCAAGTCCCCCATCCTCTTCTCTGTCACTTTTCTCCCCTAGAATATTAGAGGTTTGGACAAAATAAACTCATTCGTTCCCTCCACCTGAAAATATCTTATACTCTGGGATTAGGGTTGGGGGAGGGATTCTCCCTGGGGCTAAGAGGTGTAGGCAAGACAGGAAGGCTCTGCTGGAGTTTATGTACCCACTGACAGTCCCTTGGCATTGACGGAGTCCACACCAACCCAGCATCATCTGTGACCAGTGCCTCACTTCAGGATGAGTCTTCCATCTGTGCTCTGGACACTCTCCACGCAGAGGGTAACAGAGCCTGGGCCCGCTCTCCAGCCCAGGGGACTGTGTAACTCACTGGAAACCGCAGGAAGACTGCAGAGCCCTGGGAAGCTCAGGGATCTGTTCATGGTACCCAAGGCCTTGTCCTCTGCTGGGAGTCCAGGACTCCAGGAGACCGGCTTCTGTGCTGGGTGGCCGAGTGTCCTGTCCAGGACTGAGGCAGTCTGGGGAACTGTGCTTCAGTTGTCACTGCCAAGGGGCTCCTCAGGAGCTGCAGGATGTGGCCTATCTGGGGGTTAGGGTTGTCAGATAAAATACAAGATACGTAGTTTAATTTGAATTCCAGATAAGCGACAAATCATTTCTTAGCCTAAGTACGGCCCATTTGGACACTACTTGGGATGTACTGTTCTGAAAGTTGTTCATTGTTTATCTGAAATTTATAATTAATTGAGCATCCAGTATTTTTATTTGCTAAATCTGGTGAGAAGAAGAGGGGTGGCCATTTGCCATCCATCACTCCAAATGCATTCTTGTGGCCCCCGAGCCTGAGCTCCAAGGAGCAGGCCCTGATGGTACCCAAGCCCTGCTGTGCTGAGAAGGGATCTCTCAAATTCTGAATGGTCACTGGCAAAATGAGTCTTGGGAGTATATTAGTTTCCTATAGCCACTCTAACAAATCACCATAAACTTAATGGCTTAAAACAATACAAAGTTATTATCTTACGTTCTAGAGGTCAGCAGTCTGAAAGTCAAAGTGTTAGCAAGGCTGCACTCTTTCAGGGTTGCGGGGGGGAAGCATTGTCTAAAGGGAAATCTAGTTTCCAGTTTCCAGTCCATCCCCCTTGGCTGGTGGTCTCCTTTCATCTCCAAGGCTGGCAGTGACCCACCGTGTCTTTCTCACATCGCGTTCTTCTTGTGCCTTCTGCCTCCTTCTTCCACATTTAAAAGACCTTGTGATTATCTTGGGCTCACCCAGATAATCTGAAAATGAAGTCGGCTGATGAGCAACCTTAGTTTCATCTGTAATCTTAATCCCCCTCGCTGTGTAAAATAATGTTGGCACAGATTCTGTGGGTGAGGACAGAGACATCTCTGGCAGGGAGGTGCTCTCCTACCACAGGTGGTCTTCCAGTGTCGCTTCTCCTCCCTGCAGTTTGCTCACGGAGTCCCAGACCTGGTGCTGAAGGATGTGGCCTGCAGCGAAGCCCTCCTGCGGCGTTTCCTAATCTTCAGCCAGCGCCGAGGGGCACAAACAGTCCGTGAGGCCACCTGCTCCCTCTCCCAGGGCGCCCTACAGTGGATGGAAGACACATTCTACGCCAACGTGGACTTCTTCAAACTCTTCCGTGTGGTAAGAGAGGGATTTAGCTTCTTGCCCCTTGGAAAGTAATTCCTGGGCAGTGGGGCCTGGTTGCAGACCACTGGAGACCCACGAATTGACAAGCAGGAAGGGTGAGAGCCTGGGCTTCAAGACAGTCCTTGAGGAAGTTCCAGGCTTTAAAGGCCAAGGGGTATCGACTGATAGCTTTTCTAGAGTATTGGCCCAGGCTCCTGGGAGTCACCATTAGGTATGTGGTTGTGGCAGCTCTGAGTCCATCCCAAAAGCGGGATAAGTCCTCCCTTAGCAGCGTGGACAGGAGAAGGAGGCCTGGTCTGACTCCCTGTCCTACCGCTTCCTAGCCAGGTGATCATGGGCAAGATAGTTACTTTCCCTGGCCCTGTCACTCATCTATCAGGCAAATATAATACTTTATAAAATAATAGGAAAATATAAATTTGAAAAATGCAAAACATTTAATTCACTTCAGAAAACAGGAACTTCAGGCTCCCTGTTCTGGGCCTGCTCTTGACCCCAAAGGTTGCTGTTTCTGAGTAGAAAAAAAAGTAACAGAAAATTTCAGTCTCAAAACTTTGGAAAGCCTTGACCTAGCACAACCCTATGTTCCAGAACTGCATGTCGGACGTCCTTCTCGGGACCTGATAATATCCCCTCCTTTGCCAGAGGGACAGATGAGAGGGAATTGTGTCTGGAAAGGAGGTGGAGAGCAGCATTTTTTACTTTGGAGTGTATGAACATCGTCAGGGAAGCTGGTAAATGATACAAGTTCCAAATTCCCACCCTCCGAGACTGATTCAGGAGATCTGGGCTGGGCTCAGAGTCTGCCGTTACCTTAGGAGCTCACTGTAGCCTGCACTTTAGGGAACACTCAAAATTAGAATCCTTCAGAGAAAGAAACATATATAATGCTTCTAGCATTGAATTTTTTTCCTTGTGCCTACATTTTAATTTCTGGAACTGTGTTGGGAGGAGTGTTGGTCACTGAGAACTTGGTTGAGAAAGTTACCTTTTTTGCCTTTTTTTTTTTAAAGATTTTATTTATTTATTTTTAGGGAGGGAAAGGAGGGAGAGAGAGAGATAGATAGAGAGAGAGAGAGAGAGAGACATCAATGTGCGGTTGCTGGGGGTTATGGCCTGCAACCCAGGAATGTACCCTGGCTGGGAATCGAACCTGGGACACTTTGGTTCCCAGCCCGCGCTCAATCCACTGAGCTACGCCAGCCAGGGCCTTTTTTGCCTTTTTAATGGTTCCTATCTCTCAAGTCCCAAAAGGCCACTCAGATTTTCTTAGAAAGCAAGATGAAGGCTTCTAAAAATGAAACAAAATAAAACAAGACCACACAGTTCCTGGCAGGGCTCACACTTTATCCCTTTTAAAGTGTGACTCTCTGGTGGAACATCGCACTGTTCCCAGCCCATCGGGGTGGGCCTCCAGGGTGATGAGAGGCGTCGGAACCTGTGGAGGGTACCGCCACTGAGAGCCCAGGGCCCCCCAAAGGGTCTCTCAGCTCCCCACACTACATAGAGAATAAAAAGCCATGTGGTTTAAACTTCTCTGTCTGAAGTTACAAAGGAGGCTAATTTCAGACATGTTCCTTGGTTTGTTTGCAGAATCAGACCGCAGAGCAAGGCGGTAACAACTGCTTGTTCTGGGCAGTGAGCCTTGGCACAGCTAGGAGACTGGTACCTGGGATTGTGGAGCTGTTGAGCTTCCCTGGGCACCAAGGGTCGTGCCATCCTCTGGTCACTAGAAAAGGGGCAGGGTCCTGCGCCTCTCTTTGAAGGACCATGGCTGCTGGTGTAGGTAAATGTACCTCTGGGCCATGACCAGCAATTCTCGGGGACAGTTCTAGAAGCAGAAGGATAAAGGGGAACCTGGGCAAACTCCATTAGGAACTAAACCCAAACTCAGGCCACTGGCTTTGGACCATTTCTTTATCAGACAAGAAAGACCAGAAAGTCCTCCTGCCCTTACATGCTGCTGGAGTTCAGAAGCCAGAGAAAGAGAACTTTGGCCGATCACCCTCACTGACCTGAGATGGGACCTGCGTGCTTGCTCACCATATCTGCGCCCACCCGTCCATCCACTCAAACCCGGACGTGGTGCCTGTGAGGCCAAGGCTCCTCGTGTGCCCCTCCCACCCTCACTGAACTCTCTGTTAGCCCCAAGACGTGCAACGGCCCACGTCACAACAGCACAGCTTAGGAAGGCCAACACTGAGACAGGCAGGCCCTAGAGCAGTGATTTCCAGCCAGGCTGCTCACTGAGTCACCTGAGGAGTTTTTAAAAACTGCGAGTGCCCAGTGCCTATATAGGCCCTGAGATTCTAATTCAGCTGGCTTTAGTATTTTTCAGAGCTTCCCAAGTCATTCCAATGTCCAGCCAGGGCTAAGAATTACTGACCTAAAACATAGGAGTTTGATTCACAATCTCCATTTCTATAGAGCAAGCATAACTACAGCACCTCAAATGCCTCTAAGGCTTCAAAGCACCTTCATTGGATGAACCATAAGACCAGGGTGCTGTGGGCCTCTCTGCCATTCTCTTTACAAAGCCGCTGAGCGGCCCAGAGACTGCCTAGAGGAGAAACCAGGAGGCTGACCGGGGCCTGGAGGCCTCCTCCTACTGGCCATCTTCTTGTTCTGCCCGTCTCTGTGGGGAAAGACCAGACCAAGCCAGAACACACGGGTCCCAAGCAAAGAGGACAAACACCCTGGCTGGTGCCCTTCAAATGTGCTTTTTCATTCGACAAATGGGCAGAGTGGCTAAACACTTTTTAAAAATTACTAATAAAATCTAAAAGAAATGACAGGCATTAAAATAGGATTTTTGCTTTTATTGCTCCTGTACCCACCCTAACAGTGTTTTCAGAAAAGCCACCCTGAGGGGGCACAGAAAAGATGAAGGCAGACCCTGTGACCCTTTGAGACTGGCAGTGGGGAGGCGGGGGCTGCCCTGAGGCCTGGGGTGGGGGGCGTCTCTGGGATGAGGCTGTTATTGCAGCTGGTTGGCTCCCAGCCACGCTGAGTTCCAGTGAGGGGAATGCTGGGCCCGCTCTGCTCCGGGCTCTTTCTCATAGACATGTATGCCAGTATACAAATAAGGTTTTATTAAATGCCAAGTCAGTGCTCGTTAACAAAGAAAGAGGGACGATCCCAGTAAACCACTGTGACGGCACCTGCTCTTGCTGTGAGGAGCTGGGTGTGTGTGGCCTGCAGAGTTGTGACAGGGGGAGGAGCTCGACCTCCAGCCCCTGAAATCCGGGAGCGGAGCGGAGAGATTTGGAGAGGGGCTTTGGGGGTTAGCACCAACTGGGGCCAGCTGTGTTTTTCCTTGGCCCCTTGGAGTCAGAAGTGAGTGTTGTCATCTTCAAATAATCCAAATGCAGGACCGCGGCCTTACCTCACCCCACCCGTCCCCACACGGACAGATGCACACGTGAACGCTCTTTGGGTGCCCCGAGACTCAGGTGGGCTGGGAGAGAAACAAGCAGCCAGGTGGAGGGGTTTTCTCCAGGAATATTTGTCTCCTCTTGGTTTCACCTCAGTTGAGAGCTTGAAAGAGCTTGTTTTCACCTGTGGTCTTTCGGGCTTACCGCCCCCAGCTTGCAACCCAGCAGCTCAGACCTGGGCCCACGGTATCGTGACTGCCAACACTACCTGAAACGTTTCTCACCTCATAAAAAATGATGTGTCAGTTTCGGGTGAGCGGTTGGGATGTTTCCCATCTGATTTGGCCTGAGGTAAGCATGCCCCTCCTCCTTCTTCTCCTCCCTCTAGATCCTTCCTGTTTTCTCTCTACTCCGGTACACAGCTTTGAAATCTTGCTGAGAAGCAAATCTGTCCCTTCTGCTCTGATGTTTATTTGTGGGAGTTCAGCAGGGGAACTGAGGCGGGTGCCAAGACCTGCCACACTGCTGGGAAATGGTTTCCCTCCCTTCCCCCTTTCAGTGGATGTCGATGGAGGAAATCTGGCCTCCCCAGCTTTTGGCCCATGGTTTTCCCCTCTGCAGTGGCTTCCAGCGTGGCGTGATTCAGCTTTCTTTCCTTCCCTTCAGATATTACTCTGTCACAGTTTTTTATTTTTCTGATTTCATTTTATCCATGTCTCTCAGACTACGAAGCGGCTGAACATTGTGTTCTGGGAAAGAAAGGACCTGGTCTTGGGGGTCCAGACTCCATGCTCCTTTCAATGTCCTGCTTTGTTCTTGGCTCTGCTCCCTAAATTCCTGAATCATGGGGAATAAATGTGGGTGGATTGCCCGCTGCCCAGTGTGAGCTGGCCATGGTTTCTGCTCTCTGTCATCATTCGTTGGGGGTTACTCAATTTTAACTATGCCTTTCAATTTTCAGGATAGCTACATTGGATAGCTACATTGGATAGCTAGTGGATAGCTACATTGAAATACTCTGGAAAAGGTCCACATCTGCGGCATTTTACAATGAGGTCCCATTAATGACTTCACTTCGTGGTTTCCTCTCCCTTCTGATTTCTGAATCTTTGGACTGTCAACTTTCTCCCACTTCTGCGTGCGGGTTTGGGAGGGAGGAAGAGAAAGGAGTGATGCCCAGAGCCAGCAGCGCGGGGAAGAGGGGGTGGGCAGCATAGCTGTTAGGTGAAAACAAGGCAAAATCATAAAATATGTTTTTGGTTCTTTGAAAATTATTAAGCCACAGCAAATATATTTTATTTATAGCATTAGTATTTTTTTTCTGCCTACATCTACAAAACTGTGTCTATTATAGCCAAAATCTCCCCAGGTCAACAGATTTCAGTAAAGAAGAAATAAAAAGGCGACCAGAGAGAGGAACATCAGTGTGCATTAAATGCACATTAAGCCGCCAGGCTTGGTGGCCATTGGCCTGACTTGATTTCTTTTAGGCTCCGGGCCTACAGTGGGTCAGGGCTTCTTTTCATGACAGATCAGATGTTTTTATGAACGTTTTTCTAAAAAGTACTAAAGATTGAAACTAAAGTCACTTAGGACACAAGCAAGCCCCTGGGAAGGCTG